TAGCTCTTAGTAGGCAGTCTACACGGCCAGCCCTATTGAGCTCCTTAATGTATTCCTTTAAATACTTGTTTAGTTGTTCGACATTTTGTTCGAACACCTTTGCCAATTTGTTTGGGTCACTCCCTGTTGCATTTACTGTTTTGGTTTCAGAACCAACTTTTAAATTTGAAAATGTACTTTTTAGGGTTTCAATAACTTTACAGATCTCTTCAAACCATTTTTTGTTGAAATAGTCATGATCGACTACTCCACATTTTAATAAAGATCCATGATTCGCAACAAATCTAGCTTTGAGGCTATCTAATTTTGAAATACTTTCGGTTGTTAATTGACCTGCTTCAATTACTCCAATTTCTTTAGTTAAGCTTGCCTGTGCTTCAAGCAGCTTTATAATGATTTTGGACAACATTTTTTTTTTTTAATTTGGTATTTAGGTTTAAATACTTATAATCTATCATACTTCTTATTTGTTCTGTTACAAAAAATATTTTAAAAGTTAACTTATCTGCTGCTTCGATGACTGTTGCTTCGATGTCGTTGTTTTGACTGGGTTGTTGCCGCTTCGATGTCCTTGTTGCTGCTTCGATGTCCTTTTTGGGTTGTTAATTGTCGTTGGTTGGCGAAATTTGGCTTTTGCTTCGATGTTTTGGTTGCTGAGACTGGGTTGTTGGTGCGATGTGGTTTATTTGGTTGTTACTTGTTGTTGGTTGGCGAAATTTGGGTGTTGCTTCGATGTCTTGGTTTAACTGGGTTGTTGTTGGTTGTTTAATTTATTTATTTTTGTTCTAACCACTTAAGGTTCGAGCTATTGAGTTCGTCCTTTTCTGTTCCCGTATCACCGAACACCTTTTTATTTTTTTGACAATTTACCAATGTTCTGGCCTTGGCCACGTCGCGGAACACACCTGTGTAATTTTTCAGAATTTTGTGCCCCTTTGGCTTATTAACTTTTAGTTTTTTAACAAGATTTAAACTTGTGAATTTTTATTTTATTTATTTTTATTTTTGCAACCTTTAGCTGATCGTGCGCTCGCAACAAATCAGACTCTAAGGTGCTGGTTTAAAAACTCTGAGTCTCTTACCACTGGTGGGGGAAAACTACAGAGTGCCTCGAAGGACCAAAATGTTAGAGCGCTCTAATAAAGACGTCTACATTTGTTGAGTTATCATTTCAAACTGTTTTTATTTCAATACGTTTTTTAGCAAGTAACGTTGGTGTGTTTCGTATTCTATTCTTATCTATGGCCTAAGCAGAGACCGCATCTGTTTTGCCCTGAGCGGGAGAGCTATATTTTGACCCCCGCCCAAGTCCTTTGTGTAGTGTGGGAAACATTTCAAGTGATAATATTTAGAGGCTCAAGTGGCTTGCACGTACAGATTACAAGTGCAAACAAATGCTCCCTTGGATTTTAAGTAACAGATCGTAATTTATGGCTCTGGCTCCATTGACAAGTGACATGCACAGAACTCATAAAATCTTATATTTGAAGTCATTATCTTATTTCTAATAACCCAAGGAGTGACTTGTTTATCCATAACTGAGAAAACATTTTTAAGTGCGATAAGGGAGATCACAACTACCCTGATAGCACTTGCAGCTAAAACATTCTGTGACCGCTCACAGGAGGTCAAGTGGCTGCTCCGTTCAGCTTATATGTTCATACTTATATTTAGACGTGTTCAGGTTTGAACACAAAGAGTTTTTCATTGTAGGCCGCTTTTTATTTTTCTATTTCATTTTTTACTGCAAGAAAGTAGAGGGCATGTTTTGACACCTAGAGCAACTTATGATTACAGTGTCGTCAGTTGTTAGATTTTGTTAGCTGCACGTTCCATGGCTTTGACGTTCCATGGCTTTGACGAATGCCAAATTGATGTGCCGGGATGACATATGGTATCATGCGTGTTAAAAGGCAGTTTCCAACAATTTAGACCGACACGATAATACACTAATTGGTCTGTAGGACGACGGAATTGTGTGGTCTTTTCCGGGATTCGGTATCATGATAATAGTAGATTTTTTCAATTTTCTAGGATTGAGGAGTTTACAAATAACCTCGATGGCAGAGTTTGGAAGTTCTATTATTATTTTTGACTTTATAAGGTCATTTTCAGTTCCCCTATGACTTTCGCGACCTCCTTTGGCTGAAACAGTGTTGGTATTGAATTAGTTTCAGTGTTAAAAGGCAGTTTCCAACAATTTAGACCGACACGATAATACACTAATTGGTCTGTAGGACGACGGAATTGTGTGGTCTTTTCCGGGTTTCGGTATCATGATAATAGTAGATTTTTTCAATTTTCTAGGATTGAAGAGTTTACAAATAACCTCGATAGCAGAGTTTGGAAGTTCAATTATCATGTTTGGGTTTATAAGGTCAGTTTCAGTTTCCCTATGACTTTCGCGACCTCCTCTGGCTGAAACAGTGTTGGTATTGAATTAGTTTCAGATTCAGATGTCAAGCAAAAGTTTCAACTCTATCTTCGCTGCGGGCCCAGCTACTTCATGAATTTCTGATCAGAGTGAATGCTTCGATTGGAGAGCTCAGGTTTGGGTGAGCCCTCCATAGAGGATATTTTCTATTGGTTGGCGAAAATTTTTCGATGTACCGTAGTTGTGCGTTTTCAGTGTCTTTCTTCAGGGCTCGGTTTAGTGTGCGTGCGGCTTCGTTAAAACGTTGTTTTGAGGATGGCGATCTGTTGGTTTGCCAAGCACGTCGCAGTCGCCTCTTTTCCAATATAAGCTGTTCAAATTGTAGATTTTATATCTTCAAGAGCAACGGTAAAACAGTCGATGTCTGCTTCGATGTTGAGCTGCGGGGTTAGTTCTGTGCGATGTCAGCCTCTGGGGGTAGTCTGTGGTTTCTTGGCTTTGAAGAAGAGTAGGCGAATGCCTTCCTTTGAGAGTCACGAGTCGTGATCCCCAGTGCGTGTGTTTAGCATTATAGTTTTCTGCAGCTATGAAGCGTTCTCAAAGTAAGTTGTAAAAATCCATGAATTGTCCTTCAGAAATTTTAAAGCAAGGCGGACAGTTTACGGCGGCTACAGAAAGGTTTCCGTTACCTGGCTGCCCTATGATAGACGTGGTAGACGTGACAAGTATTTAGTTGCTAAGCTTTGGTGAAAATGGTGCTTGTTGCGTTCCCTGATTACGATGCCGGTTCCGCCGTTGGCTTTACTATCTGGATGAACAGTGCGATAGAAGGTGAAGCCCCTTATTTGGAAGTTGAATTTTCTTGTGCGGTGCGTCTCTACCAGTATCATAATTTCGATATGATTTAAATCCAGGAACTGGATTTTGTGCCGGGAAAAGCCATTGGCTTTCCACATGGTTATTCGTAAATTAGCCATCAATTTTTTGGACTGCTTAGCTGCATGCAACTGTAACACCATAATCTGGTTTCAACCAGTGTTTGCATGGTTACTTTTATGAAGGACATACATTCCATCATACACTTTACATGGTGCTTTGTGACTGTTCTGGGACCAGCTGAAGGTTTCCTAGATTAGACTGGAGAGGGTTTTCCACTCCTGATCAAAGGGCATTGGCGTATGAGAAGCCCTTCTGGGTATTAAGCTGACCAAATGAGGATCTTGCAGCCGTGCCGAAAAAAATTTTGTGGGTCGTTTTTGAGTAAGTGTGCACGTGTTGAGGATTTTGATTGCGCATGGTTGTCACTCGACGCATACGGCTTTTCAACTCCTTGTAGACCACAGAGCCACAGTGGTTAGGCGTGTGGTTTCCACCGCAGTTTTCTTTTTTCTTCTTTTTTTTTTTTGGGGGAGTCTTCCTTGTTGGCAGGGCAGTTTGCGGAATTGTGAAAGTCTTCACAAACTACACAGACTGATCGGAGTGTGCAGTATATACTGGTGTGTCCATACTCCTGACAGTTTGTGCTTTGCACTGGTTCGTTCCTTTTATGTGGCTCTTGCATCGTAATTCTTCAGTGCAATAGGTATTGCAGATTATAGATAGGATGCACTTCATTTTTTTTCAAGACTCTGATAGTTGGTACGAGTAGTAGTTGCCTCAAGGTATTTGGTCTGAAGTATTTGTTTCGTGAATATTCCTTTTAGTAAGCGAGAAGCTATTTCAGCAGTCGATATTCTGAAGCCATTCCATGAAGGTCATTAGGGCATGATTGCGAAGCAGTTAACGAAACAACAAGTTTTGAGACCTACCATAGATAAAGCCTTCATGAGCCTGCTCAGTCATGCGGCACTTGCAAGTGCAACAATCATGCAGCCCCAAAAGAGTACGAAAGTATAAAACAGCAGCACCAGCGTGGGATCGAGTTCATATTATAAAGAGTGGCCCATCAAGTAAGTATTCTTGGAGTATTTTTTTTTTTAAATTCCCAATTTTTCATATTGGTGGAAAACCACTTAAATGATAATAATTCATAATAAAGAGAAAGTTTTCTTACATGTCGCGAAAGCAGTCACAATTGATCCCTGATCCGTTTTCAAAGAAAAACGTGCTAACAATGCCACCGACTACATACCGCACCAAACAGTTTCTCGTTGTGGATGCATTGCCTTCTCCAAGGCAACATTCGCATTTTTAAAACTATATATGAACCAATCGATATTCGAATCGATCATTGCGCAATCTGAAAAAGCATAAAAACCGCATTACTCGCAACCCGTAACTGCATTGTCGGAGCTATTCAATAAAAAAAAAGATTTGATAGCCGTTTCATGGGTCGAACTTTACTAAGAAGAAGCTTTTTCCACATTACGGGTAGAAAAAAATGAGTTAAAACTTGATTTGGTTTGTGATTCGCTGACTACTTTCGTCGTTGCCTCGTGAGCAATGTTTTGTTGTTTAATGTTCATCATGTACATGTTTTAATCATTATACCAAATGATAAAAATAGATTACTATAATATATTTAGTAATTCTGACAATAAGATCCCGCAAAATACGTTCACTATCTAAGGGGATTTGACCTTTAACTCTGACAGAAAATAATACTATTTTTATCTCATATTTTTAGGCCTGTGTTATATCAGGGGAATCTGGAGCTGGAAAAACCGAAACAACCAAATTTATATTGCAGTTTTTATGCTCAATCACTTCAGACATTTCGTCGTGGGTGCAACAGCAGATTTTAGAGGCTAACACCATTTTGGAAGCTTTTGGTAAGTTCCGTTTATTTTTCGCAATCGAAAAATGACAATAGACACGACAATGACACGAATACAATTACACATTGTTTTTCTTTTTTCTTTATAAACTGCTCGGATGTGGACAAACAAATTTATGTTAGTTTAAGATTAGTATAATTTTACTAGGATAAACGAAACAGAAGAAAGCCAAAGTTAATCTACCCTCGCATCTTTTAGGAAAATTAAATATTCTTTAAGCCGTATAAATGTACATTTATCCGTTTATGTTGAATTTTTCGACCGTTCATATGGCAGCTATATTGTAATGCTGTTCGATCCTAACAAAATGAGAATCGTTTTTCCAAAGTATTCATTCATTTCTATGTGTATTCAAATAAAATATATTCAATAAGACCAGCGAAGATATAATAAGAGCGTTCGGTCCGGCCCAAGTGTAATCTAGTCTAGTTTTCGTCGAAACGGACAAACTGGAGGGCAGGCTGACATGGCTAAATCAACTCTCCTAGTTATGCTGATCAAGAACTTACACAAAAAACATGCTGAAGAGCATTTATCAAATCTGTCACTATTAGACAGGCTTATAAATCGTCACTGGAAAAACATTGAAAAAAAACGAATCCAAAGCAGCTTTGATACAAATAAATCGCTAAAACTATGAATACATAATGCGTTCTTAAGTCAAATCTCCTAAATAAAGTATTTAACTTTGAGTATTAATAACTTAAGAAAACAAATCATAGAGCAACTTGGAGAAGTTATATTATGTTAACCAGTTCTTTTCTTATTAGTTGAGGTATCGGATTATAAGATCTGTTATCCAAGAACATTAAAGTCCTATGAATGAAAAAAATCTTTTAATTAATTTTTTTGATGATTTCTTGGAAAATGGAACTGTCTATAAGCAAGGTCTTAAAAGTTATAAATTATAACACACTGTTTGCTTCTATATAATTATTCATTTAACGTTACTTTGTAAAAAGTGCTAAATTAGCAATTAATTTATACCGACTGGTTTTTTTCAAAAATTGTTCCAAAAGGAACAACGATTCAAACTAACAGTTAAGATAATAACAAAATAATTAACACAACATCTTGCAAAATGGGTCGCACTACTGTATTTCTAATGCCGAAGTGAGAGAAAAGAAAGAAACAAATTTATAAAGAAAAGCCTTCGAATAGAACAGAAAGCGGAACAAATAAAAAATTACGCAATTTTTGGGTTGTATGTTGCGTATAATTTTCTACTGAGCTGAGCAGTTCTGCTCTCTATGTATCGTCCAATTATCCAAATGTCAGAGTATATAGTTTTTCAAGTCTTCTTCTGTTCATAAGTCTGAATAGTGACCAGGAAATATGTGAACGGGTGTCTTCTAATGATTGACGAGCATAAAGGATAATTTTCAAATATCGAAGCATGAATAAGACTTATAAAAGTGTTACACGCAGTGTCGTAAAAGTGTATGCCCAAGGAAAGTGGGGGTATTAATATACTCTTGAAAATCCGTAACTTGGCCGCTATGCAGATTTCGATGCCGCTTAAGCCGAAAATTTTCTTGGCTTTCTGGCGAGTAGAACCACAATCAGTTAAACTCTTTAAAGCGTATTTATGGGCGCTCGTCAGTCATGTGGGCTGCTCTTAATTGCAGCTGTTGAAATTAAGTGTGCGTCCTTTTCGGCCAACTCTGGCAGGAGCTGTGTCCTTGGGGCTTTATTAGTTGGGAGACAATTGGTCTGATCATTTACTACTGGAATGGCGCAGAATTACCAGTCCCATGGTTTTGAATGCTAATGAGGCCATCTCGGCAGATTTCGCTGTTAAATATTCAATGGATTAACGGACTTGAGCCAGGAAGATTTACCCAAGTTGAGTTCTTGGGCCATTGCCTTCAATTTCAAAGTTCCAGGGCGCCTCGCAGGCAAAACTTTTCACATATCAGCTGTGAAATTTCCGGGCTCTGTTGGCTTTCAAGTGAGCCGCCTATCCAAAATGAGTAAAAGGCCGTGTGTTCGATAGGCATACCGTCTAGAACGAGTCGATAGGGGTTAAGCCTGGCGAGTAGAAAGGTTGCGTGTTGGAACACTATTCCAAAGGCGAAGCCAATGCCTTAACCTCGTATAGTAAGTCTTGCACCATTAGGAAGCATTCGTCGCCAGAAACGCAGTGTCATCGACTTGAGTAGCTGTGGGAGTATGTCTGGATCTAGGCGAAGGAAAATCCGCTGTGAAGATGGTATAGAGAAAAGGTCGAGTACACTTTCTTAAAAAACTCCAGCCAATATAGACCGTGCTTGCAGGCTTTGATCCACGAACATCAACTAGGAAGGTTCTATCGACAAGAAATGAATGAAGAAGACTAAAGAATGCCAAGGAAAGAATTGGCTTAAGCTTTTGGAGTAAGCAGCAGTGCCAATCGCTATTTGATGTAATGCTTTGCAAGTTTCGGGCTCTTCTGGAAGCTGTTGCTCGACGCAGAACTGGAATTTCCACAAAGCCACTAATAAGTTAACTTGTACTTGGCGTAATTTTTGCTCAAAATGATTTGACTCCAGTCTTTTCCTTGTCGACTCTTGTTTCTTACCAGGAAAATATTTAATAAGCTTGCCCTCCGTTTTCCTCGCAAAGGTCACCCCACTTACTTCCAGGTTTGAGCTACTCATTCACCTATAGACCAGATGATGTTCATGATAATGAAAAATATGGAACTTCTTAGTTTAGAACAGGAGCTATGTCTAATCTTGGTAAGCTTATCTCGTTTTATCACTGGCAAAAATGTTGTGCTTGAATGTAAAAATTTTTCTAGGTCAATTGGTTAATGAAACACGTTTGAACAGTCGTTCTAGCCTTCGGATTTTTAGCTATGACCTTTCAACGGCCAATCATCCGGTAGATTGTCGGCGAGGAGGGGCTGCAATTTTCGTCCGCTTTTACATACGATACTCTGCCCACAGTTCTTATTCAACAACAAAATTTTGGGCCGCTGCAAGTACCCTGGGTTTCTATCTACTGTCCTCCGTTGTTTTCTTCGAGCCTTTTGATTTGGCCACAGAATAGGATGCTTCTGCATCCGTAGCTGTTGACGTGTAGTCTGCTCCTGATTTAGAAATTGTGACTACTGATGGTAAGGAAAATAGTGTCAAAATCAAGAGGTTTATGCCGAATAAGACCCCCTGGTTATGACAGTATTGACGGATAAATGGCAATTTCCTTCCTAAGAAGCATTTTAAATGCTTTGATTGTTTTAACATGTTATCCGGAGCAGTAGAAGCACGCAAATCGCTGACCATCAGTTTGGTTTTAGGAGTCTCCACAGTAATGCAGTCTTTGAGACGAAAAAGTATAGCTATCGAATGTTTTTGGACATGAACAAAGCCTTTGATCGTGTTTGGCACTGCGTCTTACTGTATAAGCTTAAGCCAATTCTTTCCTTGACATATTTCTGTCTTTTGCGTTAATTTCTTGTCGGTTGAACGTTTTTTTGTTAATGCCCGATGATCAAAATCTTCCTTCCCAAATGCAGACATACTTTCAAAGAAACATATGTCGATGACCCTGCGTTTCTGACGCCGAATGCTTCCCGAAAAGAGGTCACTGACATGGTGCAGGACATTCATACACGTTTAGAGCATGGGCTTGGCGGTGGAACCTTTTTACTCAAAAGGCTAAACCCCTTTATCCTTGGGCCTATTGATCCGCTACTATTAGAAACCCGTAACTCAGCTAACAAACTTTCAAGTAAATATTAACCGAGAAAACAATTGGGTTTTAGGTGGCGCAATCTACCGAACTGCGTTGATAACACTACAAGCAAAGAGCGAAAAGCCTTGAAGTTATACATACATTATTATTTTGCAAAATTTGTCTAGCTTATTTTTTTTAGGAAACTTTACAAAGTTGAAAAATACTGATGTTTACTTATATTTATATAACTATAAATTTACACTCTTAGTTTTCTCTATTATTTTCTCCATATTTTCTCCACATTTTGTAAATTTAACCTCGAGCAGTCGCGCAAAGCAGTCGTGTTTTTGAGTCGCTCCGCCAAATATTCTCTGATTTATCAGCAAAAAAGCCAGTTAAGATAAAAAAAAGTAAACGGAAACGATTATAGGCACTCATAAGCATTTGCGCTTTGTTTTTCCGAATATATACAGTTTGGCCCACAAAAGATTTGCGTTAAAATCGCTTTAAAAAAACAACGAGTATATATATTATTCAAAAAAATTTTGTTTTAACGCGTAGCTTAAACATTGCGGCTTTTGTATGAAACGCCCCTTCGTTCAAATAGCTGCCTCGACTGGCTTGAGAGTAGCCCATTCTGTCGACCCATGTGACATCATTCCCGATCGGCCAATCTTATCACCATCCTTTTCCATTCAATCCGCCCGCTTCCGACAAAGTCTACCCGGCTTGGCCCCGCCAGAAGGTCCACCACGGTGGATTTTTGGCGTCCGACACGCTGAAAACGACTTGTGCGCCTCAATCACCGAAGTGATCAGTGACATCACCCACCGGTCCCACTCTCGCGAAATAGTTTCCCGGCTTGGCTTCGGCCGAAGGTCCAACTCGGTGGATTTTCGGCCTCCGACACGCGGAAAGCGACTTGTGCGCCCCAATCGCAGAAGTGACCGGTGATATCACCCAGCGTTCCCACTCTCGTGAAATCGTTTGCCCGGCTTGACCACGCCCCAAGGTCCAGCCCGTTGCATTTTTAACTCCGGAGCAAGATACGACGCGATCAACTCCGACATCACTCTCTCTCCCGATGTCCATGAGAACCTTCGGCGTGACCCCCAAAACGACTCAATTCTCTAAAGTACTTCTAAATCTGACTGAGAACACCGAGACTAGCTAGAGAATCATCAAAGTGGCTTAAAAACCCACTGAAGAAAAAACAGGGAAGAGTCTCTCGAAGAGTCTGTTCGAAGACAAAACGAACCGCTCACATCCGATCTCCGAAAGGACTTAGAAGACTTGAGAAGGAAGTTAACACAAGAATTAAATCAAAGACGATT